AGAGAGCGTACGCGTCTGTAATTAAACTCATCACAAGCATCTGTAAGTAGCAGGTCATGGGAACGAGAAGTGTAATTTAAACGAATCTGCAGATTGTTACTTTTCATGAAATTTGTATGTGTAACTTATTCAAAATAAAGGAAATGTTTGCACACACTTGTAGAAAAGTGCACGACTGCCAGGGTGGTTTTATTTGGTGGTGGGTCGAGGGGGGGTAGAGAGTTCGAGGCCCATCTCGCCATTTTGTTTTGGTCATTTCCTATAAGTCCAGATTAGGGCGTTTTATGTTTACCTTGTTTCTTTTTTAAACTAGTGAAATAAGATAAAAATTAATTCAACCAATAAAAATATTGGAAATCTTAATATCGGATTTTTTTTTCATTTGAGACATAAAACTAAATAAAGAACTGAATATTATAATATTTATAAGCTATAGGCTTAAAAGTGGAATTAAAGGCATAATAACTCTTTGTATGAGACCTACATTTCACAATAAAAACCTTGTGAATAACTCATAGAAATATAATATATTCTGTTTTACCACAAAAACAGCAGTTATAGCTTTTATTCTGATATTTGAACTTGTCTTTAGACCACGTGACCTCCATTGATATCTATACTCTGTTAAAATCTCTTAAGAGATTTTAACAAAAAACCAAACTTTTTAGAAAAAAACCAGGGACTAACTTTGAATGTAAAAATGGATTCATTAACCATTGGTAAGTATGGGAAAATTGTTGTTTACTCCAGGAAAATTCATTTTTTGGCCGAAACGAAGAGTTATTATTGCTTTAATATTAGATACTTAGAGAGAAAAAACTACTTAAAACGTTTATCCCCTTAAAATCAGAAATCTAATATCGTCGGTGAAAAATAAAAAGAGAATTTGCTGAATGGGTTTGTGTGTGCGTGTGTTCAAATTCACAATCTATTTAAAGAATATTAAAATAAAAGTATTTTGTGGTAATTTTCCTTACATCTGATCTACGGTATAAATGGGTGATGTAAAGAATTCTAATGAGGAAAAGTGAGTAAAATGCAAGTAAACGGATTAGGCGTTTACTGACACTAGCCGCAGATCTTTCAGCACTAACGCTCATATTTAACCACAAAATTGACAAATTAACCAACACACCACACACTTATTTAGCACCAACAAAACGATATCTAGCACTAACATTCATCCGCTCTGGTAGTACTGCAAGACTAAAATCTCAGGTAAACATTTAGCTTCGTTGAGCGACCCATACTCCATTACCCATACACCTTTAAAATATCAATACATTCGTAATGTCAGACAAAACTTCGTTCGCACTGAGAGGTACATTTTTAAGTTAAAACTGGAACTCTTTGTGAGGTCTTATAACACGTAAGTACTCTGAAGAGGCTTTTACTACTTTCTGCAACTTTTCTGAACTTTTCTTCCCGCTTTAAAGCTGCTAATTTACAGTGTATCACCCAACCGTGTTGAGAGAGGAGGGAGGGTGTCCCTTTTGGTAACACTCTTACGTACATTCCAAGCCATTGAATTGTCTCTTAAAATGGACCGGTCCAGTGAAAAGTACCGCTCTTCGGAAGCCGACCTCAATTCAGACTCAAAAGATAACTCTTACCTGTCATCTCAGTTTACAATCTTTGGGAACTGTCACAGATAAAAAGTTCGTAAACTGGCAACTCACATACATGTATCACATATTGCCTTTAAAACTTCGAAAATAAATCACTGCATAGCCAAGAAAATCATATAGGGGAGACCGGGGCTAGTTGGACCCCGGGGTAAGTTGGCCCCCCGTCAATTTATGAAAAAGTAACTACGAGGTAACAAAAATTGGCCACATACTCTTGTAAAGTGACCGTAGCCTATAATGCTAAGGAAGTGTCGGACGTTAAAAAGTTTAACTTAAGCGGTGAGTCGAAATAAACTTTTTTTGCACCTAAAAGTAATTTTGTTTAAGAGATTTAAAAATCTATTTTCACATGCTTTTGATCGAATATATGATATGTATAGGGCATCAAACTGAAGCTCATTGTTTCAAGTTTCACGGAGATGTATCATCGTTGCTCATTCTAGCACCATAAATGGCTAACATCCTTTAAAATAAATCATGTGCACCCGGGGCTAGTTGGCCCCCTTGACTCGGGGCAAGTTGGACCCTCACATTACCCACAATCCTTTGCGCGCAACGCTGTTTGAAATAAACAAGTTGGTGAAATTGACAAAGTTTGCCGGTGTCTATTACCGTCTGATTGATTTTATTTAATTTGCTCTCTGGTGTCTTTTTGAAAATTTATATTAGAAATGTTCTGTTGATTGTATGTATTAAAAAGCGAAACTTTCTTTAGAAAAACATTTAATTTGCCTTAATTCATTGTAAGGGGATTCAATTTGTATTTAGAGTGTTATATGTGGCCCCAAGGGGATTTTCCACCCCTCCCTAGCTAGAGACCATTGTTGAAACNTGTTATTATTAGTTTTCTGAAATGTCCGGGTTAAAGACTCCACTTTTTGTGTGTTGGTATTTTAATTAAAATTAAGTTTTGTTGATTCAATTGCTCTTGGGCCCAGTCTGTAATTCATGCACTGTCTCAAGATTTGCATGTCTTCAGTGTTGCTAAAGTCTAGTTTGCCTTTTTCAAGAAAAATAGTTTCTGAGCCACCTATACATACTTAAGAGTACTTTAAACAATTTTCAGAATCACTATTGTAACAGCTAACAATAGAGTCAATAACATAACTCAGTGCTCTTTTAATCAACTCTGTGTCCCCTTGATTTGCTCTAAAGGAAGCACCAAATTCAGAATAGCAGTGCATGCACTGAGCAAAGTGTTTTTGCATTTTGTCTTTAGTGTTTTTTTTTTTTTTTTTTTTTTTGCTGGAAACACTTGACCAGAAGATGGTGCTTTTTCCATTTTTTTTTCAGAGCTTTGGTAAAGTGTTGTTTGTCCCGAAGACTTTCAACATTGTTGCATGCAGAGTGGGCTTGGCTGTCCCCATCAGTAGTTAAGGTGCCAACTGTGACCTCTCCAGAAATATCCTCAAGGATCTGCTGCATGGCGTGTTGGTTGTCCCCATTGCTATCCTCTTCTCATATATTGGCTGTGCAGACTCCACTGTGCTCTGGACAAGAGACATCTTCCCTTCTACTTCTGAGCAGGTGAGCAGTATGACAGAGCTTGTTACCAGTATAAACACCAATAATGTCCTATAAAAAAACAAAAAGATAAATAAATATTAATAAAGTGAACACATTCAATAATAAAGAAAAATACTACACTACTTTTGAAATTATCCACGTGTCCACACCCAAATTTTACTAAAACTTGTAAACTACAATATACATACCCCAAACCAAAATTTAACTCCATATAAATTTAATAGTGATAATGACAGTTTTATAAAGTACAAGTAAATGAAACTTACAATTTTATGTCCTCTTTTGTATGACTACATTTTTGCTTCTTAGGTGTCTGCATAAAAATGAACTGCTTACTTCTAAGGTGTCTGTGTAATGAACTGCTCACTCTAGGTGGCACTGTCTGTTATTCAATAGGGGTGTGTGGACTATACTAAACTGAAGGGGTGGTAGGTTATGTCCTTTACACCGGCCCCTTAAATGTGAGATTATAAAATGAACATTTACCTAATATACTATTAAAGGACAGAACTGAACTCTGTATGTATGAAGTACATTTTAAAACATAAACATATCAGTTATATGGTACATCTTAAATTAACTATACTCCTTAAATGCCCACCGTTTAATTAATGTCACTTTATCCAATGTCCTTCATGGTAACCTCCATGAATTATTGTCCTCATTGATCACTTTCCATGTCTTAAATGTCCTCCATGAATATCCTTTCCGTGAATAAAATCCAATTTTATAACAGTCTCTGACTTTAACATAAACTGTCTCTGACTTTAACATAAACTTATTCATGAAATTGTGCCTTTCTCACCAGGTGCAATGTGAGCTTAGTGGCCTATACAGCAACCACATTTTCAACTTGATGGTTCTCAGGAACCAAGAGATTGTTCTCAGTCATATTGTGCGGAGTAGTTGGCAGTGTATGAAGGTTTTAATATTTGGTGTCAGAAGTTAAGAACGGGGGGGGGGGGGGGGGGGTTCTGTGAAGGGCAAATGTCCTGTCCATGGGGATGTGAAATGTTTCACCCATTTATTTTGTTCATGCAGTTTTGCAGGCATTTCTTAGTATGGCCATCATTGGGAAATTATATGGTGGTTTTTACACTGAACATTGTGACATCAACAATATTGGTTGCATTGTGGGAAGACATTCAACATTGTGACATCAACAATTGCTGTTGTATTATGAGAAGACATTGAACATTGTGACATCAACAATTACTGTTGTATTAATTATGGGAAGACATTGAACATTGTGACATCAACAATTACTGTTGTATTAATTATGGGAAGACATTGAACATTGTGACATCAACAATTGCTGTTGTATTATGAGAAGACATTGAACATTGTGACATCAACAATTACTGTTGTATTAATTATTGGAAGACATTGAACATTGTGACATCAACAATTGCTGTTGTATTATGAGAAGACATTGAACATTGTGACATCAACAATTACTGTTGTATTAATTATGGGAAGACATTGAACATTGGGACATCAACAATTACTGTTGTATTATGGGAAGCAGTAGGCAAATACAAAATTGCATAATGTCTCTGTAAGACTGATAACTTCTCACTGTCTCTGTAAGACTGATAACTTCTCACTGTCAGCTAAACATTTTTAATTGTTAGTGTATAGAAATGAGATCTTTCCGAAAAATTGTGAAATAGTTATTCCATTTATTGATTGAGGCAGTTGATAATGATTAAAAAAATTATATATAAATAAATTGTTGAATAATTTTCCCAAATTTATTATTTTTTTCTCATTTATTTATTTATTTATTTTTACTAATTTAAATGAAAACAATGATTAATTCAAGAATTGATATAAAATCTGTAGGTATCATTGTGTGGATATAAAGAAGGGCTGTGTGATGATCCTCTTTAGCACAGAGTTCAGAGACCTAGATAATGTCAACACTGGTAAGGTGTTTATGTAGGTGAGTCATGAGTTTGTAAAAACAATATGCACTGCCTGTTGTTTTTATCACTATGAAATTAGCTTAGAAGAATTCCTGCTTTAAAATGGCAATTCCATTGCACAGCCTTTAAATTGTCTTCAGTTATAGAAAAAGATCCAAAGAATGGCTTAACTTCCGAGTTATTACCATAATTTCTAAATGATATACATTATTTCACTAGATGTCTGTCATGCCTACTGAACCTGCTAGGGGGTAATTAATTATCATTTAACAGGTTCAGTAGGTGTGTCAGACATCTAATTAAGCAACTTAAGCTGAAAGCAATGAGCGAGAAACCCTTTGGAGATGGATTGATCCTGTTAGATTGATCTAAGTATGTGGGAACCCAGTCTTAATATTTGCTATGTCTAAAGGTTGATGTACTAATAGATAAAATTTTCTCCTATTACATGAATTAATATTATATGAATCAATATTATATAACCTATTTGTGTTTTATGTAAATATGTTGATGGTTTACTCATACTGCCAATGTTAATGAATGGTTGTGTTCAGTTGATAGATTAAAATATTGAAAGAGTACAGACACAGTAGTATTGATGACTGGCCAGAAACCAAAAAATAAGATTTGGAACAATGAAAAACAAAAATTCATTTCTATTATAGAAAGACCATACCTGTTGAGGTGAAAATATCTGATTTTTTCAAAGAATTTACAATTCTTGTGTCACCTCTCTTGCCTATAGATGAATCTGCTTCATATAGTGAAGAAGATATTTGTTTGATGTATGTATTTGTGTCTATATATTCTGATTTCTATGGGCTCTCACAGACACCATAGGTCAACGTAGAGTGATTCAACTCTGTGCCTGGACTCTCGCAAAGTGCAATCGGCTTAATTGACTGAAGCGCCTCTGCAGGCATTGAATAGAATAAAAAAACAGCTGCTGATTATGCAAGTATGTTAGAAACAAGAGAAGCCATGTCATTCACTTACGCTGTTTGCACTCAGCAAGAGTCCCTGCAAATCTAAGATCAATGTCAGATTTGTTTTTTAGTTGATTTTTCATTTCAGAATTTTTGCACATTTCTTGTGGAAGTAGTGAGCAAGGACCAGAAATTGTTGGTGGTTACTGCGGCTCTGGACATCAGTGTTGATCATCTGTACCTGTTGTCATGGAGATCAGGTTAACATACATACTCCAGACCATATGGTGCCACAGCTGACAGCTGAGGTAAAACTGCTCCCTGTGGTTTTATTTATTTATTTATTTACCAAAACAATTAAAGACCTATAACAGCAACAGTTCCATCATCTGCATAGTGGACAACATATAAAAGCATCATGTTTTGCTTATTAAAATGATTCCTGCATTTGGGTATTTGATATAGTCTTTTACAGTGTATAATAATATCTTTATTTAAAGACATATTGATCAATTAAAGCAAGGGGTATCTTCTGAAAGAATATTGTGAAAATTTTCCAGATTCATCAACAGAAAAGCAGCCTGGGAGCCCACCTTCCTATCAGTATGACAGCAAGGACAAATCTGGTTCAGTTCATCAAATACAAGTCTTGACCAATAGATTAACTTAGACCCATTCCCAGACCTAGATCGATCTAGCAGGATCGACCCATCTCTGAGGGAATTCTCACTAAATTTGAGTTCAGATTAAGCAGCTTAGATGTCTGGCACACCTACTGAACTTTTCGTCAATCGAAATCAAGTGAAGTCTAATTCATTTAATTCTAAAAAATAAAAGATAATATATACATATCGTAAACTTTGATGTTGTGAAAAACTCAAAAACTGGATAAGGGAAGAAAAGGAAGCCAGTGTTCAGATTTACGCATCAGATATTATTTTCAGAAATGATGATAAGTAAATAAATATTGTAATTTCTCAGGTAAAATAATACATTTACAGAAAATAAAAAAAATGGAGGGCATCTGTATTACAGTGACATCGAATTCCTTCTGAACTAAAAAATTATGCTTTGCTTGTCTTTATATGTATTTATTTCATACAGTAGTTACATATATGTAGCTCGCAATAAAGTGGCATGGTAGGGTATATGGATATGTATTTATGTTATACAGTACAGTAGTTACATATATGTAGCTCGCAATAAAGTGGCATGGTAGGGTATACGGATATGTATTTATGTTATACAGTACAGTAGTTACATATATGTAGCTCGCAATAAAGTGGCATGGTAGGGTATA